CCCCAAAACCCCAAAACCCCGCATTAGCAAATTCAGAAATATATAATTGGAAATTTGAAATAATTTAAATTAATATAAAAGCAAGTAAAATTTAAATGGTAAGTTTAAGGAGTTATACATCTTGAAAGCACACTTATATTTTCGATATTCAATATACTAATAAATTCCATCTAGAATCAAAAGCCAAACGAAAAAGACGCCAAGGCCGGAGCTGCTGGTGGTCAAGCTGCTGATGATAAGTAAGCAAAGAAAAAGAAAAATCCTTACAAGCAGGAGCTGTCTGAATAATAAAAGCAAGAGATTAAAGAGGCATTTGATCTTTTCGACACTAGTGGTAGCGGTACTATTGAGGCTAAGGAGCTTAAGGTAGCTCTGAGGGCATTAGGATTCGAACCAACAAAGGAGGAGATCAAAGCTTTAATCGGTAATTTTGACAAGGATGGAACAGGCAGAATAGATTTCCACGAGTTCCTAGACATTATGATAACTAAGATGGTAAGTTAGTATAATTGCTTTAAATATCTGTGTTTGAATTTGAATTTTAGAGCGAAAAAGATTCTGCTTAAGAACTGGAAAATGCTTTTGACTTGTTTGATTTAGACAAAGATGGACAAATTAGCTTCTCAGAGTTAAAGAGGGTGGCAGAAGATTTAGGCGAGGACATGACAGATGAGGAACTGCGTGAGATGATTGCTGGTGCTAACAAAGGAGATAAATATGGATTTGTTAATAAGACAGGATTTTTCAATATTCTTAACAAATCAAATGCTTGAAGGAAAATAAGAAGTTCTATTGTGTGATATAATGCATTAGATAAATATATATGGTCTATTAATTATTCATTAACAAACAAAATTTATATGAAAAAAAATAAATCTACATACTGAAGTTTTTAACAAATATTAAATGATAATAATAATTACTCAAGCTTTTAAAAGGATATAGTCGTTGAGGCTGCTGTATTCCTCATCAACTATGATTTTGGTTTTCTTATCTTTTTGACTAAGATAAAGATAGGCTCCAATGATGCTAGCAAGTACAATACCTAAGATCATAAGGTTGAGAGCAAACTCGGATCCTTAGCTGTGTTGCATTTGCACATCATTATTGAAGAGAGTTGTAGCAGCACCAGTAGTTTATGCTCCTAAGAATGTTTGAGAGGTATTTGTAAGTTTAACACTGCTAGGTGGAATATCAGGGAGTATATCGAAAACTGGTTCTGATACTGTGGGGTTAGTAGTTTCAACAACACCTTAAACTGTCGATTGAACTTAATCAACAACTGTTTAAATTGTGGTAGTATCTACTGTAGGAGCTGTGACTTTTGTAGTGTCTACAATGAGGGTTGGTAAGGTTTAAGTAGTTGCAGTATTATCAACAGTTGCTTAAGTTGTTGCTTTATCAGTAGCAGCAGTAGTAGTCACTGTAGTGCCAACAGTTGGTGTAGTTTATACACTTGTGTCAACAACAGGAGTAGTTGTTGTGGTCACAGTGGTATCAATAGTTGGAGTTGTGGATGCTGTAGTAGTGTTAACAACTGGAGTAGTTGTTGTGGCTGTAGTGGTGTCAACAATAGGAGTTGTGGATACTGTAGCAATGTCTACAACTGGAGTAGTTGTTGTGGTCACAGTAGTGCCAATAGTTGGAGTTGTAGATACTGTAGTAGTGCTAACAACTGGAGTAGTTGTTGAGGCTGCAGTGGTATCAACAACAGGAATTGTGGATACAGTAGTGGTATCAACAACTGGAGTTGTTGAAACTTGAGTATTACCAGTTGTAGTTGAAGGGGTGGTTTATTAAGTAGATCCTTGACCAGCTGTTGTTGTACTTGTAGAGGTTGTACTAATTGCAGATTATCCAGTAGTTTAGGTAGTGGGAGTTGCCGAAGAACCTGTGGTTGAGCTGGTAGTTGTGGTGGTAGCTGTGCTTTCAACAACTGGAGTGGTAGAAGTAGTTGTTGAAGTTATTTATTATGTTGCATTAGTAGTAGCACCTGTAGTAGTTGTAGTTTAAGTGGTAGTTGCTGGAGTATCTTGAGTGATTTGAGTTGCAGCTGCAGTGGTGGTTGCTCCAGTAGTAGGTGTGGTTGTACCAGTTGTAGTTGTGGTTGTGCCAGTAGTTGCTGTGGTAGTAAGTCCGCTAGTTCCAGTAGTGGCAGTTCCAGTGGTAGTTGTGGCAGTTCCAGTGGTAGTTGTGGCAGTTCCAGTGGTAGTTGTGGCAGTTCCAGTGGTAGTTGTGGCTCCAGTGGTAGTTGTGGCAGTTCCAGTGGCAGTTGTGGCAGTTCCAGTGGAAGTTGTGGCAGTATTAGTAGCACCAGTAATTGCAGTAGCAACGGCACCTGCTCCTTAAGTACCCTAAATTACTTAATTTATAAGGTCTCTTACTGGTAATGGAATAAATTAAGATGCTGCTGGGTCAGAGAGAATTGTGCTTGTAGTTGTAGCTACTTAATTAGCAGTATTGACTACTCCTGAAGTTGTAGCAGTGGTTGAGACACCTCCAGTAGTTGTGGTAGTAGTTCCAGTAGTGGTTGGAACTGTAGTGCCAGTAGTGGTGGCTCCTACAGTAGTTGTGGTAGTTCCTGTGGTTCCAGCAACAGTTGTGGTTGCAGTGGTAGTGGCTAATGGTGCAACTACAGCAGGAGGATATCTCAATACTGAATCGAAATAGCAAAGGCATTAATCAAGGCATGTGCTAGCTGCTGTAAGGTCAAGTGATGTTGATTGACATTGAGTAGCACAGGTCGCATTGCATCCAAGTTCAGTAGCAGCTTGAGTCAAAACTGAGCTAAACTCAGCTGTTTTGTTAGCGGTTGTTCTTGAGAACTCAGTAGCATAGGCAGTAACTCTCTACTCAATTCTTTATTTGACTAGCAGATCTCTTTCTTTCTTTTGCTCTTGAACAATCAATTGCTGAGTAGTGTTTGGTAAGGTTGACAAGAATCCCTAAGTGACCTCTTGACTTCTGTTGAGAAGAACCTCCTTTTCTAGAAGTCTAATTTCATCTCTTTGAATTTAGAATTTGAATTTCTCATCAGTTTTTCTTTGAGTGAAGTTACCTCTAAGGAATAATAACTCTTAATCGTAGGCTGTCTTGAGGGCAGTAGATTGTGTAGTGACATCTGTGGGAAGAAGAGCCACATTGGTTGAAAGTGCAGCAACATCAGCATTATATTTGTTGAGAAGAGCTTGCTCTGCAAGTCTCTCAGCTTGTCTCCAGGCTTGTTCTCTAAATTAGTAATCATTCTCTAGTGCATCCTCTTGCAACTCAAAGGAAGCATATGGATTGTTATTGTTATTGTTGGCATTAGTATTACTATTTGCGGTAAAAAGCGATACAGCACCATTACTCTATTAAGTAGCTGCAGCACTCTGAGGAGCACCACCTCCAATATAAGCAGAGAAATAATCCTCAGTGCCCTCTTAGCCAAGAGTCATAAGATCCTTTGAGTTTTGATAGTTGGTTGAGGCTTGTGAGGCATACTTTTACTATTGCTGAGTGGCAGCTGAAGTAAACGTGTTCATTTAGTTAGCATAGTCTGTAAGGTTAGTTTAGAATCCATTTTAGAAACTTGAGACCTTTTCTAGGAATTTCGATTGCATTTACTGGTATTTTTACCAGTCTGCAGCATAGTTAGCTTGTCCTTAGCCTGAAGCTCCTGTTTGGCCACCGGTAGTAGGAGCTGACTAGGTTTGAGTGACTTAAGATGTGACAAGTCCCAAAAGGACAGCCACAGATAAGCTGACGGTAAATCTTTACATTTAGCTGATTTTTTAAATTAATTAAATGAGAATCACTTCAGATATTATCATTCAAATCTTACTGATTTCTTTTTCTTTCAAATCCTTTATATCTATCTTAATGGGGTTTTGGGGTTTTGGGGTTTTGGGGG